CTACCTATATCGGAATAAGGGAACGGATTATATGAATAAAATCCTACTTATAATTAAGTCAAAGAAGCTGCATAAACTGAATGACTAATTGGATTACTTGCTATTTATGTTAAGTCAAAGAAGCTGCACAAGCTGAATAACTAACTGGACTTACCTTGGAGGGATATGATGGACTTTAAATATATTTTTATGATACCGCGATATGAGCTTGAGTCTCAAGATTGACGGTTAGGGAGCATATATGCAGTAGGATGCGTAGCTGGCTATGATGGTAGAGGTATACCCTGTTAAGCTTAGGTATTCATGCCCACTCAAATGCGTTTTGCATGTTGCCTTTTATTCAGGTTGAGACCCCCTTTGTAGTCCAGTGAGAGTCCCCTAGTGTGAATATATCTATGTACGGACTATATAGCTATTGTTGAGTTGATTAAAATGTATACGTGTATCGGATCTCTGCTTGGACTGTAGTAGAGTAGAACTTGTTTGTGGGCCTGACCCACCATTATTTTTCAGGTGTTCGTCAGGAGTAGAGGTTGTTCGTGCTGAGCAGGGATCAGTCTACTTCATTCTTCCGCTTCCATTTAGAAGATTTGTTTATGTTTCTGTTTTCAGATGTAGACATTATTTCAGATACTTATTTAGTTTGGATTTCTAGGGGTCCGCATTGTATGGATTCCCGAGTTGTATATTTTTGGAGGATTAGTTGTATCAGAAGGATTTATTAATCAGTGGAAATTTATTCTGAGGATTAATTATTGGATTATTATTTTAGTTTCCTTTCAGCATTTTATTTTTAATTTTTTTTTTTAATCATATTTGTACTCTGTGTTCATTTATTACTGAATTATTTTTTATATCCTCGGGTATTCGGGCGTGGGCCTGGCCAACCCGCATTCGAAAATCTGGGGGTATCACATTGCCAAACAGAAAATGCATAATTACTATGAGAGTAGCCACTTTGTACCTAATCTCTCTTTCCTAACAGCTTCGATTAATGGAGTTCAACACTGATTAGTGGCTTTTTAAAAATAGGCTCCATATGTAAATGAATAATTCTGAAAATTTTCTTGCAAATATCTCGAGTACTTTATTTATTAAAAATAAAATAAGATTGTTAGAATAGATTTTTAGATTACCTATTTCTCTCTGGTTATGAAGGTTTGTTGTATAAATCTTATATTTATGAAATCATTATATCATAAGCTTTCCGTGCATATATTATTTATAATTTTTAAATGTACGATTTGTGAGATATGAATTTTTGAAATTCGGAAGAATTAAGATTTAAATAAAAGGAAATTTTGGTCCAAATATGAACTCCTTTACCCCCTTCAAATAGTTGAGGGGGGTTCTTTGGTAAAAAAATTAGATAGGAGGGATTTATTAAAAAAATGTTACAAGTTGAAGGGGATTCTTTGATAAAAAAAATAGACAATGAGGGTTTACTGGAAAATGCTATAAGTTAAGGAGGGTTTTCTATACTTTGCCCAATTCTAAAATGTATCTACTACAAATATTTGTGAATTTAAAATTTTGACCATGCAACTTCTGGATTTTTTTTATGAATTCTACATTTAGAAGGAAAAAAAAATGTCAAAGAAGGAGTTATATATTAAGAACTTTCACTACTATTCTGAATCCTCTATTACTTGTGTGGAGCCTTCCTCAATTGTTTCTTGTCGTCAATAGCTGTCACCGGAGTTGTCGAGATATCCACTACTAACAGCTATCCAATTATAAGGTACTTATCCACATTGATAAGTGACATTTAATACCCGAAAATTAAAAATTTACGCCCCAAAAATATAAATAAACAAATAAAACGGCTTTCCAATTATCTTATTAACCAGAAAAATTTATTTACACTCATGCAATGAGTATATCTAACCATTCATTATCAGCGTGTGTAATGCATATATGGACATATATATTAGACGAACGGTCTGAATGCACCCATTACATAGTGTAACGTGCGCAAATTTTTCTCGGACTATTTTAGAAACAACTGCTTTATGTGTTGTCTGGGTTGGGCTGTTGTTTGGGCCTTGTTTGTACTCATATTACGTTGTTGTTTGGGCTTGTCATATTACATACAATTGTTTTAATGTTAGATTTTGCCCAAAATATGCAAAAATAAATAAATAAAATAAAATGAAAATCAGCGTGATGGTGTAATGGGTCTCCTAAAGCTAACAAATCAACCAGACCCATTTCTTTAGGGAAATAATAATAATAATAAGGGTAAAATACTGCAACACCCTTTGAAGTTTGTTAAAGGGATATACAGATGAAATTTAGTTTATTTTGGGATAAAGACACCCCTCAAGTTTGATACAGTTACCAAAGACACCACAATGGTAATAAATTCACATTTTTGACCTTTAACTTTTATATTGACCAATTTAAATGTTGAAATGACCTTTCTAACCTCTGCTCACAAACCTAAATCCTTCCTTCTCCAATTCTCCCACTTGTTTTTTTTAGCAATCGATCTCTATCTATTGTGTATAGGTTCTAGTGCTGGCAATCACTATATGGTCTGCATATCTTTAACTTGGAGCTTCACATACATGAATTACACAAAACTAGGCTTTTAAATTGAGGGCTGTGAAGTCAATAAAACTGATCAAGGTGGGTTGAAGGGGATCAATGTGTGTGTTTTTTTTTTTTTTATAACTAATGCGTGATTGTTTTACTGATGGAACTAGATTTATGATGTCTAAATAAAAAGTCAAATTTCTTTTGTTCTCTAACTTTTTTTTTTTTTTCTTACACACTTTTATGAATTTTTCTGAATCAAGGTTCTGCCAGCCACGCTCCTCAGCCCCTTATGGGCCCAGTCGCCGTCAGGATCTGAATCATCCAACAAGATGGCACCGATTGCGCAGTTCCGGAGCACCACCATCTGTCATCCCTCATCTCCTGGCTCAAACCTCCTTATCTTTACCTCATCACAACAGCATCATCATCATTCACCGTCTATCTCCATCATGCTTGACACCCTTTGCCGAACACTTTTTCGGTTGTGTCGCCACCACCGTGCTCATCCTTCACGGGACAATTTCACTGTTGCGAGTAATATATATATATATTTGCACAGATGGGTTTACGTATATATCAGTGTATAGAGAGATAAAGGAGAAGGTCAATTAGGTCATTTAATTATTTTTTGATATTTTATTATTAAAATTAATCAAATAATGTAGGGCAAATTAGACTTTTCACACGTTTTAGACTCTGTTTGACTGTCCAATATAACAAGGGGGTATTTTTGTCCCAAAATAGGTTAAATTTCATCCGTATGTCTTTTTAGCAAACCTGAGGAGGTATTACTGTACCATACTCTAATAATAATAATCAAACAACTATGACCCAACACAAACCTATCATGTTTATTTGAAACTTCAAAATGAGAGAGTTTCTTTTTTGTATTAAATGTTCTTTATCAATGTGGATAAGTACGTTATATTTAATATTATATTTGTCTCATATTAGTTGTCTATTTTTATTATATTTGAGCAATAATATGATGAGTTTGGTAGAATTTTTCAACCGATTATCTTTGATTGGTCATAATTTCCTTTTATGTTTCATACACTGACCAATTAAAAGTATTTTTCCAAACTCATCGACTTTAAAATTATTTCCCTTTTATTATTGTGACTTTTTAATAATATATGCAATTAATGCATTGTCTTTTTTTAAAATTATTAAGTTTTTTTTCTTTAAAAAAAATTATATATATATATATATATATATATATATATATATATATTACTATGTTTTGAGAATTTTGAAATTTAAACGTAATTACGAAAATATAGTATTTGTTTTGCTTTTTAAATTTTTTAAAATGAAAGTATTAATTTGGAATATTCAGAAAAAAAGAAAAGAAAAAGGACTACTAATATATGGGACGAGTAAAGTTGACATTAATCATGACGTCATATTTAACAAGGGAATCCCATTTTGCAAATGTTTATCAAAGTGTGACTCATGCGAGACATCCGAGTGGCAATGTGTATCCATTGCTCTAAGATTATTAACTGTTTCCACTCACAAATGTACATGTGTCAAAATTTGATAGGCATCTGCAAAATGTTAGTTAAGAGGGTACTGTTTTGATTGGACGATTTTGAGCGCCAACTATGATGCACTCATTGATGCCCACTTTCCATATTATGTGATTATAGCAACATAAAATTTAAAAATAGAAAAATGATAATCATTTTTTTTAAAAAAATTTGATGACTTAATTGATTTTAATTAGTTTATGAATATTGGAAAGGAGACCTATTAGTATTTCAGTTCACTTGATTTTAAAATGTTTGATAGCTTGACTAATTCATTTTTATACTAATATGTATATATGAAATCAAAAGAAATATGATAAACTCTTAATTTGGGATTTATTCGCATAAAATGTCTTGTAGAATTGGGTAAGATAATGTTCCTTGACTTGAAAAAATAAAAATAAAAGAAGAAGAAGAGAATAGGGTTAAGATTAAAGATGTGTCGGTTTATTGTGGATTTTAAGATGTCTAGCTAGGTTGCAAAAATGATTGGAGTGTATAATTTCTAATAGGGTCAATTGATCCAATACTTAACCACTTGATCAAATGAAGTTTATGTAATTCCAAATTTTTTGACTTAGTATGTTCATTTTGTTGTCTCGGTAGAAATGGGCGAGTCAATTCCTCCCTTAAAATTGTATTTGAGAGTTTTTTACTTCAAACGGCTCAATCAGTGAGGAACCGCAATATGCACGATGGGGCAATTGCTCCCACTGAGATCTTTATTATTCGTTTATATATATATAACACTTATATATATATATAACACTGCCCCTACGAAAACCTTAAAAATTCACAAATGACCTTAAGAAAAAAATTCTAAATTTTAGAAAGTCTTTTCATTTTCTAGTTCATTAGCTCAACATAATTTTAAAAATTCAGAAAAATACCCATATTTTTTCTCCTCCAAATTGTAAGAATCAAAATTCAAACAAACCACTCATCATCATCACCATCATCATCGTTAACATCCATAATTTCTTCATCCTCGTCGTCTATGACTCCATCTATAGGTTTCTGTGGGACATCACTTTCACCTTCCATCATCATTGGAGTTGGAGAGGAACTTGAAGGATTGAAAATGTTGAGAGGTGGTGCCTCCATTAAGTTCCCTGGAGTGGGCTTGTGAGACGAGGAGGCCTTGTTTCGGGCCTTGACCGCGGCGAGATTCCGGTGAATCAACCGGTGACGAGTGTGTTCACCAATGTAAGTGACCATGAACTTGTCTGCGTTAGAGGAGCTGCGTTCCACATGTTTCCTTGCAGCACAACCTTTTGAGGTGTTACACCTATAATAGTGTCTGTGCAATATCCAAACCAATTAATTAAAAAGAAAATTAATTTTTTAACCAATTTTTTTAAAAAAAAAATCGATAAAAAGAAAATGTAATTAATTAAAATGAGTACTCAATATATACCTTGGATATGGCGTGCCTTTGATGGGTTTCTGACCGTACTTCCTCCACGACCACATGTCAGAAGCGAGCTCCACCTCAGTCATTTCACAAACAATTTTCTTCAGTGGATTCCTCCTATGAAATGAAAATTTGACAACATTAGATATGAGTTTTGAATTGAAATTTTTAAGGCTTATTTGGTTTAATTTTTTAAGAAATTCAGTTGATTGATAATTTTCTAGAAATCTTAGTATTAAAAAAACATCTAATTTTAAATAATAATAGTAATTAAAAAAAAAAAACCGTCTTTTGGTAATTCCCAAACTATTTACATGCATTTACTGTTTTCACAAAAGAGAGAATGACATAGTTTGTCATGAATCAACTCTAAGCTATTTTTTTAGCCAAAAAAAAACTCTAAGCTATTTACATGCCGTCAAATATATATATATATATATATACACACACATCTGCATATACGTAAACACTTATGATGTGTGTGTGTGTTTTTTACCTCCTTGTTGGTACTTTAAGCGTCGGAGCTTGAAATTGTGGTAAAACAAGAGAAGAACCAGGTTGAGAGTTCCAGACATGAGACTGTATTATTTGTTGTTGTGGTTGTGGTTGTGGTTGTGGTTGGTTTTGGAATATTCCATCAAGAGCGGAATTGATGGAGTGATTAGGGTTGATTGGCAATGGGAGGGGCTGAAATGGCTGGTTTGTGTATTCAGTAGTAAGATGAGGAATATCAGGAATACCAAACGGGACATAATCGCTTTCATTGTTGAAGGTCAGTGAAGCCAAATCTGCTAAAGGGTTGTCAACAATGTTGTCGGTGTTGTTGTTGGCGGGGTTGGCGGTGGAGGTGGAGGTGGCGAGACCACTCACCACCGCATGCAAATCCCGGCCATCAGCCATCGACACAAGGAGACTAATTAACTGACTTGAAAGTATCGCTCAGTGAGAGTACTAAGTTTGAGGTGAAAAAGAGAGATGTAGTGAGGAGTGAGGGTTGGAGCAATATACATAGGCCATAGGTTGTTATATATTTATGTATACAAAAATAAAAATAAAAAAATAAATTGATTGCTTTCCAATTTTGAAGAGACATGCAAGTGGATTTTAAGGCAGGGAAAAATCATTAATGCTATGTTTGGGGCACCAGAGTTACAGCTTGGATTTAGAAGAAATTTAGTTACAATTTTAAACTAAATTTTTTCTATTACCAAATTCAAATAATTGATTGGGTGCTTTCAAACAGGAATCGACATCTAACTACTTTGATGCAATTAGTGAGGACTGATGTGACTATTCACATCAAAATAGTTGGCGTTGTCTAATTGTAGAGTTGTGGATTCATTTTTAATTTAAAATTTCACTTTAGTTGTGTTTGATAATTTCATTAAACATATTTCTCTAAATACATAAGTTGTGTTTGTATTTAGATTAAAAATGCAAGATTAATTCTTTTTGGAGTTGTCAAGAATACCCTTTTATGTATTTAGCTGTAAAAAAAAAAATTATATCCATATAATTTTAATTTATATATATACTCAAAATAGAGCCTAATAATTAACTCGATGAAAAGCCAACAAAATCACTTGTTTAACACTAAAAATATCTATTTTGAAATGCTTTTGGTAAAATGATAGTAACATTAGTGGGACGTGAATTTCACTACATGACATCATAGGATGGGATTCACTCATTCATTCACTCACATAATTCTTATTCCACAAATTCCAAATTGCAAAGAAACATTATTACCCAAAGTTTTAATATTTTTACTCCAAACAAGATAAGACTGACATAATTTAATGATGCAACTACAAATATATCCAGCTCACCAGCAATATTATATCGTTAGTGAACTGGATATCTTATTAAAAAATTATTATTTTTTTTTTATCTCTTTCCCTCCCTAGAACTTAATGTCGAAGTTGTTGCACAGTGGGTCACACCTTCGACTCACCTGTACGGCTGGACAACATCTTTGATATGGTGTGTTATAAAGGATATTTGTTCCATATTGAATCGAAAATAGAAAATGAAAGAAATATAAATGAGTGTTTAAAATTTTAAATAAATGTATAAACGTCCACTCATTGCGGCGTGGTCATAGTAATATCTTTCAATGTGTGTGTACGGATCAACTTGTAGTCGGGCTTGGTTTGTAATTTTTCATAAAACTAAACCAATGGGCCTTTTTATAACTCAATTTTCAGAAAACTGTATCAAGCATAATCTTTTGTACAACCTTTTATTTTCAGCTTTATAAAAACAGAAAAATGTTCTTAAATTTACAAACCAAGCATGCCCGTAGTATCAATGTGGTCCCCTTGTATTATAAATTCAATCGCATGTTTATTTAAGAGGAAAAAAAAATGCACATTTACTTACCCAAATTTTTTTTTTTCAATAATATTTGTGCTTGCATTTTGATACCTATGTGTTTGGATGGAGTTTCATTGATTACCCAAATTTGTCTCATCCAATAATATTGAATGTCTTCATGCTATATTTAGAAGTACCGAATAAATATTTTAGAATTGAAATTGATATTAACTAAATGAAACTTTAATAAACTAGTTTTTATCAATTCCAATTTTATGTCGATTCGGTACTTCTAAACGCAACCTCGATATTTTTGGTCAATTATATCATCTGTTTGATGTTCAATACGAATTTCAAGTCCTTCCACCTTCTCCTCCAATGTGATTATTAATACTGTGTGTCCTCTATTTCAACTAATTAATTTTTACTGCATTCAATTCCAACGTGTTGATTTGGTAATCCTAGAGACAACATAAATATTTTTGATCATCATGTGTGTTTCATTCGATAGTAATTAGTAAGATACAAATTTTTTTATATGATCACAATCACGCACACCACCAACAATGCACCACTATGACACCACACAGTCCGGCCACTGTTCACACCATCCGTACGTGTGCATTATAGTGTGTGTTATACACTAGAGCGCACAATTGCTCTATACATTTGATTCTATACATTTGAAAGTATTCTCCTCTCTGCCGTCGTTAGGGACGTTAAAAGTAACGGAGTAATATATTGAAAACTAAAATGCCAAAACTATTTTTCCTTGTCGCAAATGATAAAATGTGTTTTTCTCACTTTTTTTGTTTTGTAGGGGGCGGGCATAAAAAAAAAAAAAATAGAACCCCTCGCAGGTTCGGAGGTGAGGATGGAGTTTGATAAAAATATGCCCCGTCCAGTTATACATATCTTTTTTCTATTACTTTTATTTTTATTTTCATTTTTACTATTTTTTACTATTTCTTTTTTAATAAATTACACCCACACCCCATGAGGTTAGGTCATATTTCACTTATATAAAAATTTTGATTTTAACTTTCATTTACACTCCAAATTGCTTTTTGAACTCTAACACATGTGAAATGACCTATTTACCCTCACTTTTTTCAATACAATTTAATACAAAATTTCTACAAACTAAAATGATAGAAATACCCCCATGTAATACTAATATTCCAAATCACTATTTCTCTTTCATCTATCTAAAAAAAATGGGCCGCAGCCGCAGCACATCACCATCGTCTCCCCTTCCATTGTCATTCAAGTCACTATCGCCATCACAGGTTGGTCGAAGATTCTCATCTCGCCACGGGCGAAACCATGAAGCTTGTTTTATGGTGAAAATCATTAAGAGCAAATCACACACTCTCTTTCCCCGTCAAAGTTCCAAAATACCTTCCTAACAATTACCATACCACAGAACGATCCGATGACCATTGACGTAATTTCCGGCGACGGCGGCAGTGACAACAATCTACAACAATGATGACGACACACCACACCACACCACAAAATGATCCGACAATCATTGACGCAATTTTCAGCGGTGGCGGCAGTGACAACAATCTGTAATAACTATGGCGATCTGCGGCAGCAGCAGCCTCTAAATGGGAAAATGTATCCTCGTCGTAGCTGGGGCTACGACGGCGTCAATTCCGGTGGTGACGGTGCAAATGGTGTTGCGCGCCTTCGAATTCCGACGAGGAACAAGTAATCTCGTCGAACTAGCTACCCTCGGCGGGTATTATGCTGCGCTGAGATGGGAGCTGCGGTGCGGCGTGGGATTCACAGCCGTCGAAGAGCAGCGATTTGTAGGTTTTAGGTAGAGTTTCCTTCTAGCAGAGGTCCAAAGTGACCTGCGATGTTGGATTCACAGGTGCGGATGATGGAATTGGGATGCGATGGGATGTTTGTCAGGTCGGGAATGTTCAAAAGCAGTGACCGGGCGAGGCGTGCTTGGGCAATTGTTTAGATCCAGCTGCCCTGACTTGCCCAAAGGCACAGAAGGCAGCAGTGGAGCGGAAGATGCCACCGACGATGATGGAGGAGGAGGAGCCAATGATGCCGTCGACTGGTCAGAAAGTAGACGGCACACAACCACCACATAGATATGTAGTGTGTTTATATATATATATATATATATATATATATAGTGTATATATGTGTGTTTGATTGTATTTATTAATTTTGTGTATAAATTAAGGTTTGGTGAGGGAGGGGAAAAGATTGTATATGTGTGCGAGTGTGTATATATATGTATGTGACTGGTGATTGGTTTTGGAGGTGGCCACCATGGGTCTGTAACATTCTTGGTTTTAGAGAAGATGGGCGTGTGTATACAGTTGTTAACCAAATTAATTTTTGTAGAGAGCGAGAGAGAGAGAGAGAGAGTAAAGAGTAAAGAGGAGTAAAGTTGGGTGAAGGGTATTTTTGTCCTAAAAAAATTAAAACATCATTCTTGTAAGTCAATAATTAGTCAACGGGGGCAATTAACATAGTTATTTTGCATGTAAAAGTACTCTGGGGGTGTGAATGAAATACTAAACCACTAATTCAAATATAAGTGAAATTTAAAACCAAAATATTTATCTAGCTGAAATATGTCATAACCTCAGGGGTCTGAGTGTAATTTATCCTTTTTTTTTGGGTTTCTTTTCAATGGGCTTCAATTTTTTTCGGTTGCTATTTATTTTGCTATCCAAATAGTTAATGGGCTTAGGCCCGTAATAGTAAATGCATAAATGGGGTAGAATGGGCAAGGATTCACTTATGACATGCACGGGTTTTGAGAAATAAACCCGTTCCAGGTATGGGCCGGGAATGAAATTTTCATTAATTAAACGGGCGGGTACGAGTTTAGACAAACTTATGTCATACCTGTCCCGTTGCCATCCTTACCTGGCTCCGCTCAGTCTTCATATCATTCATATAAAGGCTCAATTGTAGTTTTAACAGAAACTCCGACGAGTGTCCTACGCTCGCTCCATCAAAGTAATGACCGACGAGAGTCTAATGCTTCATATATGACATTCAAAATTACATCATTCTCTAACTATTCCATGTATATTTGTTAACTTCTTTTCTGCTAACATGAGATTTTTTTTTTTTTTTTTTAACTGAAAAAAAAGCATGAGAATTTTTTTCTGGATTAATATGAGAATTGACATTTGTTTTGTAATTCAAACGGCAATACATTATGATAAAATGGAATGTGTCATAGGACTAGATTTTGCCATTAAAGGTATTATTTTCTTTACTTTTTGACGTAGGACAATTTTATTAGAGTATTTTCACTCGAATATTCAAATTTTATATGTATTTGAGATGAGTCTGGGCACTCCAAGTCCTACGGGAGACTCTTATCCAACTAGGCTGCCAGGTATCATATCTATCTATCTATATATATATATATATATAAGAACTCCATATGATATATCAAATTTGTTAATTTATTAATATTTTGGCATATCTTTATTCAACCGCTAGTTTTATCCAACTACTATAAAACGGGTAATTTATTTCAATAATTCATTTGGCATATCAACCAAATTTGACATATTTGATTCCATGCCGAATGC